GTGGCTCAGGTTCCTCCCTGTTCCTCTGCTCTCCCGGGCAAAATATAAGGCAGAGCGCTTTTTGACTCCGTTGTTTTGTCTCGTAATAGGTTGAGCCTTCTGATACTATAGAAAATGTAAAAACTAAGATCCAGGATAAGGAAGGTAATTCAAGATGCGTGTATCATTCTCTTCTCTCTTGGGCTGATGCATGTCTCACGCAGATGTGATTGTCTGCAGCAACCTACTGCTTCGTTATAGAATGTCCTAGTTCATATCCCCTCGTTTAATCTTGATTTATGTCACCATTAGGCATTCCTCCTGACCAGCAGCGACTGATTTTTGCTGGTAAGCAGCTAGAAGATGGACGCACACTGTCTGACTACAATATTCAAAAAGTGAGTAGGAAAGGCTGAACAGAGTGTTCGTAGTACCACCTAGAGCTGGTGCTAACCTTTGCTGTTGAGCCTAAGAAATGCTTCAGATGGATTCAGCCTAAGAAATGCTTCAGATGGATTCAGCCTAAGAAATGCTTCAGATGGATTCACCTAAATCAGTTGGTGTAGGGGCAGATAGCACTTTGACCAGGGAAGTGCCGATGCTGGGACTAGAACTGACAGTTGCTGCATCCCAGTCTGTAGTTTCAGGTCAGAAGACAACATTTCTAACAGCTTTCACGTTCAGTGCTCCCCTTCTGTCAGCTCTGGCAGTTGGCACTGCCTGCTGAGCTGCTTTGGGGGGGGTAATGTGAAAACCCCTTCTCCCTGATTAACCTGACAGTGAGGCCAGTGAGCGCCACTAGAAGGGAGGAGCAACGAATAGCTGTCACTTAGGCTTGAAACTATTCTGCAATTGTAGTTAGAACTGAGGAATAGAGTGGCAACAGGTTTTACAGCTGTTGAACCTTCTGGGGTTTGGGATGCAGCATCCCCTCTTCTCTGGAGCCTGTTCATTTGCAGACCTAATAGCTAATAATCCTTTGAGAGCTTTCCCAATTGCCTGGCGCTTGAGATCTACTTTCTGTAGAGAAATGAAAAACCCTGCTTAAATGCTACTCTTGTCCTGAGAAAGCATTTTGTCTTACTTCATGTGCTTTACAAATAGGAATCAACTCTTCACCTTGTGCTGAGACTTCGTGGTGGTGCCAAGAAAAGGAAGAAGAAGTCTTACACTACTCCCAAGAAGAACAAGCATAAGAGAAAGAAGGTTAAGCTTGCAGTGCTCAAGTACTACAAGGTATGTAGAACTAACTCTAGGAGAAACTTGATGAAAAATTAGCTCTCAGGAGGAAGGACATGAAGCCTGTGACTAGTCTGCATGCAGCTTGGCGTATTTAAAGTCCTTCTCTTTGCAAACACCCCACCTCTTAAAATAGGAGAGAAACTGACTGTTGCAGTCAGGTGCTTCCAAACTTCGCTTCAAGAAGTTTGATGTAGTAACTCACAAAAACTACTCTGGCAAAGAAAAATACTCAAAAGTACCACCCGTACTAAAAGGTGGCAGGTATATCTGAGATGTTGTCTCTTTGCCCTTCCCAGGTGGACGAGAATGGCAAGATCAGTCGTCTGCGCCGGGAGTGCCCCTCTGAGGAGTGTGGAGCTGGAGTCTTCATGGCAAGTCACTTCGACAGACACTATTGTGGCAAGTGCTGTCTGACGTACTGCTTCAATAAACCAGAAGACAAGTAAATGTACTAGACAATAAAAATCTGAAGTTCTTTACGGTTTAAGGATTTATTTCTGCTTCCTGTGGCACTGTATTTCCTCTCTGCTGATAAGTGAGAAAAATCTGTGAAGCTTTGGATGCTGACTGCCAGCTAGGATGAAATATTTTGACTCTAGCTGAAGCAGTGACTCCTCCCAACACTCTCAGCTAACCTTAGAAGTGGTCTCTTTAAATGTGAGAGTAGAAGACAGCGCAGTAGTTCTAATCTGGAAAAACAGGAGATCAGGAGGTCTGAAGTCATGTCTACAAGTGGGTCAGTGCTAGAGAAAAGGGGAGCAGAGTCCTGCTAACGAAATGCAGGCTACATACTGAAAAAATTGTGTAGCAGCACTGAGGGGGAGAAAAGATGGCTCAGCTGTTTTGAAACCAAGACATACTCATCAGAAATATTTATACTGTGATGGTTTTAGACAGGTGAAGTGCTTGCAGTTAATTGTAGTTTATCCCATGCTCCAACAAGGTAAGGATCAGAAATATTTATACTGTGATGGTTTTAGACACGTGAAGTGCTTGCAGTTAATAGTTTATCCCATGCTCCAACAAGGTAAGAGGGTTGCTTGACAAAATTTAAAGAGCAGAATGTTGTTACGTAAACATCAGATACAGAGAAGCTCGTGTGTATCTCTGAAAGTTCATTTAATGTTAAAGAGTTGAAGGCCAGCCAGGAATAATGCATGTCCTTTAGTGTTAACGTACACAAATGGGTTTTAAAATCCTGGATCCCAGGAAGTGGTCTGTTGAACTTCTTTTTCTTCATAACAGATAATTTCATCTCCAATATTGAATTCTATATCCTTGTCCAAACTCAATCCGCAATCCATACCCGTTTTTATTACCTGGACATCATCTTTATGATGCTTCAGTGATGATAAAGATCCTACAAAGAGAAAGCATGTCAAAGAAAGAGCCCACTAACATCAGAGCACAGAAGTGTTTTGGTTTGCCCTTCTTGCAGAATTAATGCTTCACCAGGCAGGCAAGCAAGAAAAGGCAGGGACTGTGAGCACATGCAGCTGACGAAGAAGTCAGACACCAGTCCTTGCCAGCAGGCAAATGCTGTGATGCTAGTGCTTTCCTACCATTGCTGGTGGTTAGAAAAAGGTCTGGGTAACAGGACAGTGACATTTTGCAGTGCTTCTCTAGCTGGAGCAGCTCCATCCTGACTAGCATAGGGGGCTGCCCGACGAGCAGATGTGCACCTTTTGCAGTAACTTCACGGGGAACGAGCGGTGTCTTAAGGCAGAATGCAAATACTTGTTTTTATGGACAATTACACTTACCTTTCCAAATAACATCCCCCTTACGGATTAACTTAAATTTCATTTTTTTGTCTAGCAGCCCCTTCTGTACTCTGCATCCAGCTACTGGAATTTTGTTTTTTCCTACTGTCACAGAGAAAATGTTGAGAACAGAAGCTTCCCCTAAAAGAAAGAAAAATGAAGTTGTATGAAGTACGTGAGAATAACAAACTGGCAATAAGTAGAAGCAAGCTACATGCTTCTACTTGTCAAGCTTTGTAACAATACACAAAAGCAGCTACAGAGAAATACAAAATATTTGGTACAATAGGAACACTTCATTGGAGAATAAACTTCAGGCTGCATTGCGAACCAAAAATGTAGCAGTCAGTGAAAACTCACCTAGTGTATTCTCCTGCACAGATGGGGGTAGCCTGCTATTTAGCTCTTCCTTCAAGTCTTCAATAAGCTTGTAGATGATATTGTGAAGTTTAATTTTTATTCCCTTTTTAGCAGCCAGCTGTTTAATACTTTCATTGGCTTTCACACTGAATCCAAATACAACACCTGATAAATAAAACAATCAGCAATCGATGACTACAAGAGATCACTCAAAGCGAAAGTGCCTGCTGTGTCTGTTTTGTAACGCTGACCTTGCAGCACAGGTTAGAACTGGTGGTCAGCGAAACAAGAAACAGCTTTTTACCACTGCTTCCCTTTTAAGGGGGGACAATTTGCTTCTCCCACTATTGCACATTGACTGCTACTATAACCCTGTATCAAAACACATGGCTCAGAAAAGCCCTCCTAGAAAGTTCCCTGATGGCAGAACTGGAGGAATCGAAGTAGAAACTAATGCTTACAGACAGCTCACCAGAGCTTACCTAAAGGCACAAGGACTGGGAAATTTTGGGGCTGGGAAAAAAAAAAAGCTTGCATGTCCAAATGAAGCTGGAAGTAAACTCTGTATCATTCTCATCCACCTGTGGGCTATGGCAGGTCCAAGGACCCCACAGCCTCCAGAGCAGGTGAGAATTACAGCGTACAAACAGGAACAACTACTGATGGGGTCTTCCCACTTACCTCCCTGAGCAAAGGCAATTCTTTTGTAACCTACTTTTCTAGCTTTGCCCTGTTTGAGTGAGGAGTCAGACTTTAACAATTCAACTACTGGCAACAGCTTGTCAGGAGTCCTTCCATTTTCATGAGATTTCTAGCCTTCCCCCACCTGCACCACTGTTCAATGTTAAAGGAAACGTTTCTAAGATACCTGTAAGTTTACATTATACATGCTGCTAATTACTAAGAAAACAAACCCAGAATGAGACCTCCCCATTTCAACAAGGAGTTTGTACTAACTGTAAATTGATTTTTACATATGTGCTCACCATTAAATGCTTCAGCAAGACTTAGATCGGTTTCACTGATATCTCCGATTCCAAAATGGATGATATCCAATTTACATTCATCGTCGGCATTATAGCTGTCCAGAATGTTCAGAATAGCTTCAACAGATCCATCTACATCACCTGCATGTATAAATGGAAGTACTGTTGGCTTCGTACACATCAAAGTAACACTGAAGTAGCACCAAGTAAACGATGACAATGTGCTATGCAACATAAAGTCTTTTGACACCTATCATTCTTTCTACGTTTTCAGTAATACGTTAAAACACATCTAACAGGTCTATTAATTCCAAAAATGAACTGAATAAATAGACAGGACCAGAGGCTCCACATCTGCTGTCATTTTCAGGTCAAGTTTGCATAGTTTTTCAGCTACTACTGTCACTGCTTGTGTATGACTGAAGGTGAGGTCAAAGCGAGCTCCTCCTGTCCCACTTTAACTGATAGAGAATTGTTCTTGTCCTCTATTTTGCTGATGCAGTACTGCTGCTCATATAGCTTGTTTTGTTTTTTTCTTTTATATACTTTAAATCTACATATATATATGTATACAGGCACTTGTATGGGTTTTACTCAGGAGTTCCTGGGTTGGGCTCATAAATATTCCTATTGCTCAGCCCTGCTGGAAGCGCATCCTTCTGACCACTGGATGTTTTCTGACGCCCCTCCCCTTACTGAGAGAAGTTCAATAATCTGTTCAGTGTTAAATTGATTAAACTTCTGGTAACAGAAATGTTGTTAATAGTTTAGGGTCATGCTTCAGACTGAGCATTTGAGAAGCACAAAACCAATGGAGCAGTAAACAGAATAGGATGGCACCTTTAACAATTACTGACAGCACATTTTTGTCCATCTCCGTTCTCTCTTTAGGCCTTGAAAACATTAGATGCTTATTGGCCTTGTACAGCACCGCCTTCCTCTGTCTCCAGGTCAGATGGGCTAGCTTCTGTTGCTTCTTCTCATATTCCATCCTGTGTTCCTTTTGCTTTGCTTCAATAACTTCCTCATCCCTTTTCATCCTTTCCTGCTGTTCAACATAGGTTCTCCAAGCCACAACTTCATGTGCTCTTTGCTGGGCAGGAAGGGACAGAAACATTACCGTTCAAAGCACCACATCAGAAAACTCCACGTTAATGCAGTTTCATCCTTCTGCATCTTCTCTACAGGCTCGCTCACTTTCTTTCACATTTAACAACAGATTTTGCTACAAGGATGGCAGAGAATGAGCACAATAGCTGCCTCCCTGGGCTACAACATGACTGAAGGCCTATTTTTATCATATCTCTGCATTGCAGAAGAGAATTATTGTTCATTCTTTCATGCGGTATTTGTCCAGCTCTCACAACACCTATTTCAAGCTGTATTCTATGCATATTCTTTTGACAGAAACTAGTTCTCTCGTTCTAAAATTCAAACACCAATACCATTAAGTGCTGGATTATTCTCCAGGTAGGGTGATAGTGTGATTGTGTAAAAGAGAAAAGTCTTCTGAGCTTTAGAAAGGGACCACATTAGAACAAATCCCAGATTACCCCCGCAGAAGCCATTCAGGACTGCAGTCACTGCAAACAAAGCATGGGGGAAGGCAGGATGACCACGAGAAGCAAAAGCATCAACCAAAGGCAGCTCATTTTTTATTCCAGAGGCAGCCTGCTTACTTCATGTGATTGTAAAGCAGGTTAGTCTGGGTGCATGGAGATGAGGAGAGGACAGCCCGGCAGAGGAGAAATGGAAGCAGAGGCAAAGAAAGAGGCAATATGCAAACCCTCCTTCCTCTTACAGAACACCTAGCTCAGGTCTCTTAATACCCATGCTCAGCCTTTGTTTTTCATCAGATTATCCAGATTATTTAGAATGAAAGCTATCACTTATTTTTTACTCAACTCCTTCCCATCCACCTCACTGCAGTATAGGTTTTCCATTAAACAGTCCTTTCTGTACCTCAGATTCTACTTCAAGGATTTCATCTCCGGCCGAAGGGACTTCCTTCCAGCCCATGATTTCCACTGGGATGCTTGGAGAGGCTGCATCTACAGCTTTGCCGTTCTCATCAAACATGAAACGCACTTTTGCCCAGGTCTTCCCTGCAACCAGAACACAGCCTTTTCTCAGAGTTCCTCTTTGGATGATGGCTGTGGTAACTGGACTAGTGAAGAGCAGAGAAAAATAACAGACAAAACTAAAGTGACTCTTCTCCCCATTTTCCCGGTTGGCATAGGTAAGCAAACAAAACAGAACATACTTGTGACCGATCAGAGGTGGAATATTCCTGTGACACATTCTATTAGAGCGCTAATAAAATTTTAAAGTGACTTGCAAAAAGCCCCAAACCTGTACTGTACTGTTTTCATTTCTGCAGATCAACACAAAACTTGGCATTTGTGAAATCAGCAAGAGACTGACTTTACACATTAACAGACCCCCACCAAAACAAGAAACCCCAAACCTCAACAACTTTCTAGAATTCGGTTCATATTTAAGAAGGGCAGAACACACCTTATTTGCAGAGAACCTGCAAAAGCACTACGGTATTTAAAAGAGTAAAACGTCGCATTACACACAATTCGCCAAAAATTGCATATGTATTATATTATATTAACTTCATTGTTTCTACTTTTTAATGACATTTTTAAGACACATCTGTTCTAGCATTTGAAACTATTTTCCTGTGCTTACAGGATTTCATCAGTCATAAAATGAGTTTTGCCCTATGGGTTTATAATCTTTTTCTGGCTCTCATGCTGTAGAATAACGTTACAACGCTTTAGTTACCAACACTGCAAAGAAACTGTTACAGTTTTATCTAACAACAACAAGTTGGATGTTAAACATAAACACTGAGGTATAAGCCACCTGAACAGTGTCTCTGCATTGTTACACATTGCTTCATTACAGGTGTAAAGGCGGTGGATTTACTTACCCTTTCCCTTTGTCTTTGCGAGACTCAATTACGGTCCCCTCCACCAGACCTGTGGAATCTGCCTTCAGTTCCAACATCTCTGCTAAAGCAACGGTTGCTTCTGCTAAAACCATGAGGTTTTCACCCTGTATAATACCCATACACACAGAAAAGATAAATAATAAAGGAAGTGCCAAGTGCCCAATTAAAGTAAGATCAGAAGTTGAAATCTTCGTGCCAGATTCCTCCATTTAATGCAGAACTTCTAACAATGCCATACAGTCGTAGAATCGTTTAGGTTGGAAAAGACCTTTAAGATTGTCAAGTCCAACAGTGCAGATGCCTTTGCCTTCAAGGCAAGACAGCACTGAAATAACAACCTATTAAGACCACTGTTCCAGAAGGCACAAAACATTAGGAAGGACAGTTTCCTTGCTTCTCTGTTCATAACATCTGGGTTACAAATGCAGAAAAAGACCTCGCAATATTCTGCAACAAGTATATTAGGAATGCAAACTAAAAAAAAAAAAACACCAAAAGACAAACCCAACTACAACTTCCCCCTCCTCCCCGCAAAAAACCCCAACCCAACAAGCAAACAAACTACCTAAACAGCCAAGCTGAAACTTGATCAACAAGTATATTAGGAATGCAAACTAAAAAAAACAACCAAAAGACAAACCCAACTACAACTCCTCCCTCCTCCTCCCCAAAAACCCCAACCCAACAAGCAAACAAAATACCTAAACAGCCAAGTTGAAACTTGAGGACATCTACTACACAGTCAAGACTCCAGGACATCAAAGAGAAAAATTGTTGGGTCTGTTTTCTTTCCCCCCCTCCTTTGTTCTAATTGCATTTTATTTTTGAGAACAGATACAACAAGCTAGCTGTCAGTCAGCAGTTCCAGATCTACAGGAATTAAGGCAACAACGTGTGCTACAGAGGTGAATGGAGAAGCTATTTTTAAGTGTAAGGACATGACTTCAAAAGGTCTTGAACTTGCCTGAAGCTTTAGAAAAATTACTTGGGATGCATTTAGAAAGATAGCAATAAGGCTAAGACACTGATGCATCCGTCTGGACAAAGCAGCTTTGGCTACCACAAAACTACAAGTAAGTACTAAAGTTCAGATTTTAGTTCAGTTTTTAATTATCACTTGTCTGCAAGGATAAGATGGTAAATCTCACGTAAGACCATGACAAAACTATGTTCCTGTGATTAGACATGTGTTACGAAAATATTTATTTACCCTCGTTACAATTTCTCCCTTCATGCGTAGTATTATCACCAACTTTGATTTTGGACTCATTTCATACAACAAGCAAATATATGAGGAAATAGCAATTAGGATGAACCTGAAAAATATCCACTAGATTTCCAGAAGAAAAATGAGATTATATTGTTCACTGGAGGGCTGAGCCTCAAAATGTGATAGGAGTACATTTCAAATCATTCTGGTGAGAGCCAGCAGCACTTAGCTCATGGTAAGATGTCAAATACCAGGAAGATAAATGCCCAAGATAAGCCGCCAAATAAAAATGCAGCTGTATGCACATATTGGATGCCCATGAAAAAACATCATTTCTTCTACCAAAACTTTACCTTGAGCGCAGAAATATTTACAGCTTGAACATCACCTCCAAACTCTTCACAGACCACATCGTGAGCCAGCAATTCCTTCTTTACTCTTTCAGGATCAGCTTCAGGTTTGTCACATTTATTAATGGCGAGGATAAGAGGAACTAAAAAGAGAGAAGAAAACCCCTTCATTACCAACCTAACCCAAACTTGCTGCTACTAGCACAACTGCAATAAAAGGTTAAAGCAGGTTATGACCACTTAGAACACATCATCTCACGTGGCACCTACTCCCTGAGCAGCCATTGAGATCTGAGCTACCATGAGTAAGCTGGAGGAGTTATCCTAGTAAGGAAGGGGAAAAAAAAAAAAACAACAACAATAACCCTCCCCCCATCTCACGTGGCACCTACTCCCTGAGCAGCCATTTTGATCTGAGCTACCATGAGTAAGCTGGAGAAGTTATCCTAGTAAGGAAGGGGAAAAAAAACCCCAACAATAACCCTCCCCCCTGATGAGTGCTTTTCTCACAAACCTGCAAGCGCTGCTAAAATATTAGTGGTTTAATATCTTTATGTATTACTGCAACATTCAGTGCGTTTTCAAACACCTTCCCAGGGGAGAAGGAACAGGACTATGACAGTTACTTCCCAAGTTCTGTGGATTCCAACTCAAGGAGTTTCTTTTGAGAGGTGAATAAACACTCGCAAAGCATTCATTATTTGAGCATAGTAACACACATCTTGTACGTTAACTTCGTGTACTGGGCTTGCCACTCACTTCAAAATGTAATGTTACGAAGTTAAAACACCGTACCTCCCGCGTTTTTAGCATGTTGAATGGATTCTATAGTTTGTTGCATCACTCCATCTTCTGCCGCTACCACCAGTATGACGATGTCAGTAACATGGGTACCTCTTGCTCGCATGGCTGAAAAAGCTGCATGTCCAGGAGTATCAAGGAAAGTTATCTTTTCCCCAGAAGGCAAATGCACTGTGAAGAAATGTATATGGTGCATTTTAAAATCAGCATTTCACATAGCTTTATTTGACCTATAGTAAATCAAGAATCACTCTCTTGGAGAACTTTTTTAATAATAATGACATATTTTAGAGAGATAGATAACTGTTGGCATGGAGGTCAAAGGTGCTTTTAATTCCTCAGGAAAGAAAATGCGTCCTGGGATCTTTCAAAATCCTAAGGAGTCTAAATAGAATTTCAGCTGCACAGACAATCCACTTCGAAGTTCCACCCATGCATTTGTGACAGTTATCACAAGTTACAATTTCCTTTCTCACTGCTCACATATAAAATGTTTATGTTGCAACATTTTTCCCCAATGAACTGGAAGCAAGTCAGCCCACTGTGTAAGATGGAGAGTAAACCCATTTATCACGTGCGCGTACACTTGAATCATACCAAGAAAAGCACCAATGTGTTGTGTAATGCCTCCTGCTTCCATTGATGCCACCTGAGTTTTTCGTAGGCTGTCAAGTAAGGTTGTTTTCCCATGATCAACGTGGCCCAAGATAGTAACAACCGGGGGCCGTGGGGTTAGTACTGCTGGGTCTGCAGGAGGCCTGCAATTAAAACAAAAACGTGTTTTGTAAATACCAAAAAAGTTCACCAAGCGACACGCATGCCCGCTATGGCTGAGGAAAAGCCATTTACCAGAACTCAGTGATGAACAGGGGAGCCTAGCTTCTCCCCACCGTGGATCACAAATCCTAGCTACACCACACAGCCCTCTTTCTGCTGCATTACAGCAATTATACAGCAATTTTATTAATACAGCAATTCAGTATATCAAAGAACTGTCTTTTCTTCAGAAAATGACACAGAAAAAGCTCACCTGAAAAGAAATCAAAATAGTAAACTTTACCTTTTAAATATTATCAAACTGTGACTACATCAGGTATTACCAACCTACCATCAGCACAAAGAAAACACAGTATATGAAAAACACCTGCAGAAACAAATAGGATAAAAAGAGCCAAAAAAGAACAGTTCACAACTTACCTTTTCACAGCATCTGTGTTTTCTCTTTCTTTTTCCTCTTTCAGCTTTGCCGATTTGTACTTCATTCCTGATTTTTTAACAATTAGCTTGATATGGTCTTCATATAAGATGGAATCTGGTTCTAGTGAATCAAGGTCAACGTCTGTGTATAGCAGCGCTTCATAAATATGATCTGTGGACAAGATAAAAGACATCTCACAACTACATCCACAAAAACGTGCGGGACAAAAAAGCCCTCACTTCATACAGTTTAAGATTTTTTCATTAGTACTTTATACCGTGCTAATAAGTTTCATTCACAAAACATTTTTCCTCCAGCTAGATTTATCTCAAAGTTTCTGTTACGCTACATACTTGCAGAGAAGAACTTGATTCAGAAAGATTTACTGAAAATGACTGCCTCATTAGGTGCTACGATCTTATTTTTCACTCAGATTTTCATAGCTTACTTGTCCATTAACTCCTAAAAAGAAAACAAATGAAACTCATCTAAACCAAAGAGCAAAGAAATGATTCAAGGAGAAAGGAAATTTGATAAATCTGTTCATATGTCACTTTCTTTGGTAGCCGAAACACAGAACGTATTGCAGTAGTCAAAAATTGTTACATGCTGACCTAAGTATCATTGCAACTCTATCTCAGAAACGGACAGCAAGACGTAACAGACTTTTCTCCTTCTCTCCTCATTGCTGAGAGGGAAGTTTGCCAGAAAAAGCAACCCAGATGGATAAACAGAGAATGGAGATTGGTATTACACCGGTATGGAATTATTTCAAACATCAATAGTCAAAACATGCTAATGACCCCCCTAAAACATCATTGAAAACTGGTCGAGCTGAGCCACTCTACAGCCATGGGGTTGAAAGAACGAGCCTGCTCCTGTAAGCCAGTTGTCAGGGCAGTCACCTAAAGAGAGGAGTGTTTCCAGACAAGTCTGTGCACTCCCAGTTAATCAAATTACCGTTTTAATGAAATACGTATTGCTCCTGAATCCAAGACTCCAGCTCCCAGGATTGGATTATGGGCTAAAGCTCTTTTGTGCCTTCTCTCTTTAGCCATGAATTCTTTACTTGCAGGGTCCAGCTTCAACAAACCAGGGTGCAGTGTTTTTCCTTCCAGAATAATTCAGCACTTCAGAAACCCAGTCACCAAGAACAGCCTACGTGGATCTGAAGCCTTTCTGATGGAGACGGAAGAGAGTCCCGGCTTCTTCACATTAAAGCACCTTGCCTGGTAATCTGGATGGCCCAACTTTTTTTCCCCTTTAGTCTGCTCTTGTGTCTACCAACATTTTCTCTGGTATGGGTACAGTCTACCTTGCTAAGGGAGGGATTAGCAACCACTACCTGATGCCATCGTAGACATCTTTGCCTTTACCACTCATGAAAGCGGCATTTTAACTGTGTCATTCAATGTCAAACAACAGAGCAGGCGCTCACCTATGTCTTTACCCATAGCTTGTGCAAGTTCCTCAATAGTCATCTTCTGCCTTATCTCCACTTCACCTTTTGACAGTGGTATCTTCTTTTTCTTCTTTTTTGTCTCCTACATGGAATTAGACACGTATATAGGAACACATAGCTGGCATAAACTAAGAAATAATAAAAACAGTATTAAAGAGACAATGGTCTCAAGCCATAGGATGTAAACACATATTTTTTACTGCAATGTTAGTGAACTACAACAAATGAATGACTTTAAATATTCAGTATGATATGTTAAGTGTATAACATACTACACTTTATCTTTTTTCATTTTTAATTTTTCAAAACAAGGAAAAAATAAATCAACAAAATAATTTTCTTTTTTGTTTGTAATGATCTCCTCCTGCCTCTGCAAGATTCACAATGCTGCTGCTATAAGCACTTTAAGTCAGTATTTGAGAGGGAGTCACACTACAGTCATAGATTAAGTACATTTTGTCTTATAATTTTATAATAACTTCTCTATATTCATTAATAAAGCTCCTTTTTTGTAATTAAAATGCTCAAACCGAGCTCTTGTGCTTTGAAATTTCACATAAACCCCAAGATTATTGGATTTTGTTAATTACCTCCTTTGTAGCTAGATGTCTGTGCTGCGGTAAAGCAATACTGATTAATTTGTCTTTTTGCCAGAACTGCGGATACAGAAGAACGGACCACACGGGGTGTGCAGATGACTGCACAGGCTTCCATTGTGCTCTGTAAACTTTTCTGTAGGAGAGAGTACGCAGCTGCCGGCAAGCACCACGTAACTGGACCAGATTTTCAAACTTTAGTATCAACCCTCGATTCATTTCCTCACTGAAAATACAAAGGACACATTGAAATCAGTCTCAAAGCTGAAAGATTCTCCTTCCCACGATAATCCAGACAGGAACACAAGGCACAAATGTTTCAAAATAGGCTTTTTAATGCTGAAAAAGTTGAACTATTTAGTAACTTGTCCAGTTTTTCAGTTTAAGTGCTTCACCTTTCTCCACTATCCCATTGCAGACACACAGATCTGATCCACTAATATCACCACATCTTACAAATCTTTCACCTATCTCCACTGACCTTTAATATAAACTACTAGAATCCCCATTTCAGGTTCTTTCTACCTAGAAAAAAGGGACATTTGCACTCCTCATGTTATACTTATCCAGGTGCAACCTACCTCTCTAAGCCAGTAAAACACATCTGCAAAATGCAGCTTACATGAGCGCATGGGGAAAATCTTTTCAGTAGGGCCAGCTGTGACAGGACAAGGGGGGATGGTTTAAACTAAACCAGGGTAGGTTTAGACTAGATATAAGGAAGAAATTCTTTACAATGAGGGTGGTGAAACACTGGAACAGGTTGCCCAGAGAGGGGGTGGAGGCCCCATCCCTGGGAACATTCCAGGCCAGGTTGGACGGGGCTGTGAGCAACCTGATCTGGTTAAAGGTGTCCCTGCTCCTGCAGGGGGGTTGGACTAGATGACCTCTAGGGGTCCCTTCCAACCCAAAACATTCTATAATTCTATGATACCACCACCAAAGGTCAGTAGCATCGTGTTGTCACATGGACAGAGACGTCCTTTGAGGCTAAGCCCTGGCTTAGCAATTAAGCTTTCCAAGACACTTCTGTCAGATGATCCCACATCTTGTTTTAACCATCTTAACTTTGTTTTGAGTTATTTTGCTAACTATTCTGTACAATGGTTTCCTATTTGAACCTCTCTTCTTGTCTGGAGCTGCCTATTTTGTCTTTCTGCTCAGTGATGCCTTTCTCTATACCTGCTGTGTCTTCTCTCAAAGGTGGCTTTGCACCATCTCCCAGGCAGCTCCAAGTGAGTGAAATGCTACCAATTCCTCTCAGAATGACTGCGGTCCCCTTAAAAACTCTTCTGTATCCGGATACCTGCAGGAAGC